CGTTTTTTGGTGATTTTATTTTATTTGCAGGAATTTTCCCGAAAGTCAGAACTCAAAAGTGAATGAGCCATTTTGTAGACAACTCTCTATCGACTGACTTGGCTTTGAAAAGTTTTAGCAAAAATCTGGTACAAAAAACGGTACGAAAGTACAGTTAGTTGGACAGGTCGAAAAACGTTTTACTTGTTCTCTTGCATTCTTTCGTAGTTGTTCGTGAGCTGATTGTCAACTAAGGTTCTAATTTAAATTTTCTTTTAATTTTAATCGACGAAAGACCGTTCAGAAACAACAGTATTCATATTCTCTACAGGAAACGATGGGCGGATATCCGAAATACCCATGTGCTGAAAATCGCTTCATTTTTGTCGATTAACCGCGATGGTTGAAAACATCGACGCTCAATCGCGATTCGGGAAAAGATGGTCATTTAATCGCGATTAAGTGATAATTTTTTCGTGCATCGCGATTAATCGATGACTTTGTCAACCATAGCGATTAATCACGAAAATCATCAATTAATTGTGATTAATTGTTGATTTTAATTGATTAAATAGTTGTTGTTATTCACCGTTTTCTTTTGCAATGAAGTTTGTAAGTTTATATAGGAAACACGATTTCAGCGAAAAATACACTTATATTCGGATCATCTTTTTATTTTAGAATACAACGGAGTTGTCAAGAGTCTTCTCTATTGTTCCTCAGAGCTTTAAACCGAGAAGCAATTAATTACGATTAAGCGCACGATTAATCGTATGATTTTTCACGACTAATTGTCGATTTTTATGCGATTTTTAGTACATGGGTAGGAATATCTAAACATGAATATTCGAGGTAGGGATATCCGAGACAGGATATCGGTCGACATGGCTTGAAAAATACACATTCGCGAAGAATTTGTTGTTCTGAAAAGTGAATTCATGGTGTAAAAGCTGTAAAAGCATAAAGATCATAAAAGCATAAAAGTCATAAAAGCATAAAAGTGTAAAAATGCCTGAGAGTGAGTCACGATCGTTACCTAACCTGTATGGTGATCTGAACTACTTGCGCTTTCAAGAACCAAGGTGCTTGGATGTGTTTTTCATAACTTTCATTATGAATGGTATGAAAACTTGCGATTTTCCGAACTCAGCAGTCAAAGTTTATGACGTTCTACCGAAAATGAACGTTGGCACGTTAATCAGGAGCACCGATTATCTATGTATTCTGTGTTTATGAGATTGTGAGAGTAGAAGAAAGCCTAATCCTAGGGGTTCGGGAAAAACCGTGTCCCCGGAAAACTAAAAGGTTGTTTGAATCCCATCTTGTAGGAGACACTCCGAACTATCTGTCACTTTAAAAACGGTCTCTGTGTTTTATTCTTCTTCATCCGCGTGTCAGCGAAACTAGAATAGACCACATACTCGTCTAGACTAGACAAAAACAAACTTTCTTTTCTATTCTATTGTTTTGTTGCATATACCGGAAAAAAAAGTGATGAATAGTGTCTTCAAACATTAAATACAACCGGACTTTTCTCTGCTTTCTTGTGTTTTCGAACTGACTTCACCACTGAAATTCGAAATTTTATTTCATTCTTTCAATCTGAATAGTAGTAAATATTATATCTAATATAGAAATAGACTGGACATGTCTGTGTATAGAGCAACCATGTGGTCGTCATATATATGCAAAAATTTTTGAATTGAATGTATTTTGACTAACGATGTTACATAGTCAGGAAACAGTAAGCAAGCAAGGAAGAAAATTTCCATGTTAAACGATGTTAAAGCATAAAAGTCGTAAAAGTATAAAAGCTGTAAAAGCATAAAAGACGGATAAGCAGAAAAGTCGGAAAATCTGGAAATGCGGGTTGATGTAGTCGTTCTTTTCTCGCTATCCTTCGGATATTCTCAAAGCGGATATCCGCCCAGCCCTCGCAGAACTTGTTTTCTGTCTATCCCGTGCGATTTGCACGAGTGTTCGTAATTACCCAAAATGGAGGAATTCCGAACATTTGATAGGAGCTCTCTGCAAACGCAGAGCGCAACCAAAAAATATTTATTTTGAACACAGTGCTATGCATCAAAGTGGAATCGAAATGTATTTTCTGGTGTTCCGAAATGTCACCTTTCTTTCTTATCTTCTATCATAAGTTTGCTACAAACCTTTTTTTTCTGCCACGAACGAAAATTTTACTACAAATTAAAATAACGGAAAAATTTGATTTCTTCGTAACACAGGAAAAGAAATCGGGCTATTCGACTTTCTCTGTTCGGATGTAACAGGAGAATTATTTTGCTTTAAGATAAACCAGATCCGACGTAACAATGTTTGGTTTTGATCGAATCATACAAATTTTCTTAAGTGCCTTGAAACTGCAGTTAGGAAATGATCATTTTGGGCAAAATAGCTAAAAGAAAAAATATCCTCCTGCGACCGCTTGAGCCTATGAAGAGTCTTGAATATAGCCAATTGAAAGAGTTTTTCGAGAACTACAATGGTCATTTTCTCCATTTTTACATCACAAAATATAACGGACTGAAACTAAAAAACCTGTTTTGTGGAGTTTGAAAGTAATGGATATTGAAGCTTTTCCCTATTTTCTCTATACTTTTTATTCTTATAGTATATAAAGAAATGTTCAATATGTTTTTGTAGAGAATTGAATAAGGAATGTTTTAAAAGAAAGATTGAGACTTGGCGATCAATTTGGACCGAGATATTGAGAAAATACGGAGAGGGACGTTATTTCTGGCGCACCCGTTAGTTAGCAGACAGCTCCCTAACTATCACTGAATGAAATGAAAGGTAGTCTTTACAACCAGAATGTTAGATCACAAACTATGTCATGATCTGTGTTGCACGTACTCTATCAAACTTTAAGATTAAGTAATAAGGCAATAGGATTTTTCTTGTATAATAAACTTCGTTATTTTTTCATAGTTAGTCAATAATATTCGTTCATATCCAAATGAACAAAAAGTGAAGAAGCAAGTTTTTGAGGAAGCAGACGTTATCATAAGTACGTTGAACTACACTGACACCCTAATTTTTGAAAAACTTGGTTGTCGCTATATTTTAAATCTTTTTTAAGAACAAATATTGCCACGAGGTTCAGCATGAAGCCTCTCTTAAACGTTCGGAAGCATTTTTATTTAAAACCAATGTGATATTCAGAATCTACGAAAAAACTGCATCGAATGATATATTCACGAAGAAGTCCTTTCCACATCATCTTCACCTTTCCAAGTGTAACTACATTCAGAAGTTGAAGCGCCGTCGTCAAGTGAGGAGGTAGACATTCAAGTTCGATCTTTGCATCGAGCGCTGCTCAGATGATTCTTGTTGAAATGTGACTATGATGTCCATCGAAGAGTAGAAGAATGGGTTTTTGAGCAAGACTAACCGATGGAATGAATTGATCAGTGAACCGGTCAAAGAACATATCTTCATTGACGTAGCCACTTTCAGAGTAGTCGTATCGAGTGCCGGGATAACCGTTGCGAGGACACCAGGAGGTGAGAAAGAGCTTTCCTTTATGAAGAATATATGGCGGAAGGAAACTGAAAAAAAAAGAAATACGTGAAACAGAAGAACCATGCGGAGAAAACTTACTCGCCAGCGGCCGATGAACACATGCGAACAGTCGAATGACTTTTTCCGGTACCAGAATGAGATGACGTCGCACATTTTGTTGAGCGCTTGACAATCACTGCACATCGTCCCGGATCATCTGAAAACCCACTTTCATCCATACTGCAGATCCTGGACGATTCTTCAGGTTGTGCTTCGTAAGAACAGTGTCGAGTCGAGCAAATCATTTGTCTAAAAGATAAAACCGACTGTCTTTTATCTTGTTTCGAAATAAAAGCTCGAGTTCTCGAAACAGCTCGAAATCTCCCAAATTTCTTTCTTCAGAAGTAAATCATACTTACCAATGACTCCTTGTGTACACGCTTCGGATTGGGTTTTCTCAAGTTTTGTTGATTCCATCGTCTCATAAATGACAAATACCAATCGTTCAATGTGGATCCCGGCGAGAAGGTCTTATCAAGTTCACGCATGTATGTTCGAGTAATATCGAGAAGAGCAGGCTTGGTTCATGGCTGATGCCATTCTTGGGAAACTTGGATAGTGTGGACAAGAAATTTTCATCTTCATGTGACAGGATGGTGCTACCCTCCCCCCACCGGTTTTCCGTTACCTCGAAGTCCCGATAGTCGAAAATAGAGAGTAGTTTTCGGAATATGGTATAGATCGATTGCCTTTTGTGGTGTAAGGTTGCCCAAAAAAATCTCTTTCAGGGTGGATTCGAGATTATCACGCGTATAGCTACAACGCTGGTTGCTTTTCGGCTTGAAGTTTCTTGGCATCTTACTTCAAAAAACTTCAATCCGAAAAGAATTCAATGGCGGGACAATCGTAGAGGAGTCATCCATACTTATAATCCATGGAAAAGTCCAACCTCGACATCTGGCGACATTCGTTTTACCAAAAAATTCCTTGCGATATTCTTGAAAAACCGAATTTTCAGAGAGTTTTTGGGAAGAAACTCTCCGCGTGTGTAGAGCTCGATGAGCTGAATCTTTTTGCTCAAAGAATGAGCAAGAAATAATGTAGACAGGGTTCACAACAGTTCTTCTTCTAGCTCCAGTAAAAATAGCTGGATTCACATTCACCCCTACAGGATAAGCGTATTCCACATTCACCCCAAGTGAGGTGATTGTGGAATGGTTTTTCCTTCAGAGCTCTCAGAACAAATGCAGTGGTTGGAAAGCCTCGCAGTAAAAAAAAGTGGAAGTTCTTCACGATTGTAGAAAAATGTTTGGGAAAGAAAATGTCGAACGAATTTTCAAATCGGCCTACAAATGGATCTACAAAAGTTGTTTCACTCATAATGCGGAGACTAGCTGTGATTCCACATTCACCCGATGTGGGATGATGGTGGAATTTCGATCATAGGCTTCAGAAAAACCGACGAGAAACTCGGATACTTCAACATTTTTTGAAATCGGAAAACGCCATCATGAAGAGAAATGTTTGGTCTACACTGTTTGTGAAGAAAAGTTTTTGATATCTTTCAAAGTGACAGAGCTATATCGCTTCTACGAAAAAAAATATTTCTTTGTCCACATTCACCCCGTGACACTCTAAGGATAAAATCCAGATCAGATCTGAAAACTGTTAATCCCAAAATAGCAGCGATATTTTTTCGCGCTTCAGATTGACAACCTAGCGGTGTTCTTAGCGCATATCTCTGCAAAGAGAGACCCTAGTACCACCTGAAATCAGCAGGACTACTCTGAAAAAATAGGCGGCGTACCGATCCTAAAAAAGTTTCGGAAAGTAATAACGAGTTTCGAACATTTTTTAAGATTCGGCAGCTTCTCACCGATCTTTTTGAAGAATCGGTACAGTGTACCAATCCATCGAAGGACCGATGAGAAGCTACCGAATCTTAAATAGGATCGGCGAGAAGCTACCAAACCTTAAAAAAGGATCGGAAAGTTGTAACGAATCCCGATCCTTTATTTTTATAAAGTAATCTCGGCCCCAGGAAACTCTGGCTAAGATTGATCTTTGAGGCGTAACCGGGGCCCAGATTGGCTCTGGAATACAAAGAAGAACTTTGCAGATCTCTGGTGCAGGTACATTATGAACGAATATCTTTCGTTTTTCAACATATTGAGTTTGACTTGTCTTTGGTAGAATCGATCTAATTGATAGTATGCTGCTGTAATCTCCAATGGCGAATTTACAGCACTGTTTTTGAACGGTTACGTAATCATTAGACGATCCAGTCATCAGGCATAATAATTTTCCGACCCCACCCCTCTAAAGTTGCCTACGTAATACTTGAATGGCCTCTAAGGAGACCTAAACGTGGGAGCGGCTAGCCGTGAGTGACGCTCGGAAGGGGCGCCGACGAACGACTAGACGCTTATTCGAGATGTTTATCGAATGTTTTCTTCAGACAGGCCTGGAATCTGTAGAGACATTATCAAGCGGTCTGGTCCGGCCGGTTGAAATTGTGTCCGAAGCCGACCAAAAACAGCTGATTTTTTGTACATCGGTTCTCGGAATGTTTTTTAAATTCTTACTTAGGTTTTCTCAAATATGCTTCTCTTCACTTAGGAGTGGAGGTAAAATCTATTTTTATTAAAGATAACTGTCGGATAGAAGTAAACATTTCGTTACAATGCATTAGCAAAAATATGGCCCTGACCGGCCCGGCTTCACTTCTGGTTCGGTCGGATGCGGCCAGATCGGTTTCAATGCTGGGAGGAATGCTCAAAGACAGTTATGTGATAAATATAAGATGAAAGATCTGGATTTATGGAATATTGTTGTACCCTTTAGCAACCTCCCAAGCAAAAATTCTCTATGGAGTGGATCTAGCTCCAACACACACGTAACCGGGCGGTTATTCACTTGATGGATCTAGCTAAATGTACCTTTTTACCTAGTTACCTAACTCCAATCTAGTAGTGAACCGAGCAGTAGGTCATCATAATCGAGTAGGAACGAGAGGTTGACATCTAGGTTAACCGCTCAGTTAACCGACCGGTTAAGCTAGATTCGAAGACGAAAAATATTTGATAAGAGAGAGGTTATTAACTAGGTTAATCTACAGGTTAATCGGGCGGTTGGAGAGCCCGGTTAACCGAGTGGGTGAAGCGCCCACTCTAAGCTAGCTTCAAAAGTAAGAAAAAAAGAATATGTGCCTAACGAGAATTGAACTCGCTGACTAGCGCACTCGGAATTGAGATTAGAAGTACACGCGACGTTTTAACCAACTAAGCTACCAGGCACACATGTAGTAGTTGATGAGTGATGAAATCATTCAGAACATATTTTAGAGATTTGTGTTTTCTCTTTGAGAAAAACATTTTTGAGAGTTAAATCTGCAACGTAAAATGTAGCAAATTAAATTTTCTAAATTCTGTGCGCTGGAACCAGATTTTCAGAAATCGTTCTTCTGGATAAAAAACAGTAAATATTGTTTTTCATCCTGAAGATCGATTGGTACACAGTTGAACCCAGCAGATAAAATTTAGGAAATTAAATTTGCCATATTTTTGTCTCTTGGAAAACTCTTCCTTCATGGTGAAAAATCAGAAATACTATCTTTTTGCCTCATTTTTCGCCATGAAGGAAGAGTTTTCCAAAGGTGAGTTTAGAGACAAAAATATGGCAAATTTAATTTCCTAAATTTTATCTGCTGGGTTTAACTGTGTACAGATCTTTAGGATGAAAAACAATATTTACTGTTTTTTACCCGAGTGGGCGATTTCTGAAAATCTGATTCCAGCACACAGAATTTAGAAAATTAATGTTCCGGATTTAACTCTCAAAAATGAAAAAAGGAGAAAATACGAGAAAGCAGAAAAGTATGACCGTCTGAAAGGTTCGAATCTACAAAAGGGTTGTACTTTTCTGCTTTCTTTCTATTCGTAGTAAAATTGATTTATAAGTTTATTCAAGTGTCTTTGCAGTTTTTAAGTTACGATTTTAAAACTCTGCTCAATGCTCG